TAAAAAAAAAAAAAAAAAAAAAGAAATTAACTCAAGAAAAATTGAGAACCTTATATCTGCTTCACTGGACTGTCTTCATAGTCTGTATACATTCATATGTCAGTAACACATTTTTAAATTATGGAGGCTTTAAAAATTTATTTTAACATTTAATAAGCTCTTCTCCTTGCTCTTTTTTTCCCAGAGTTTTCTTATTTTTCTTCCCTCCTCCTCCTCCCATTAATATAAACTTCAAAATCTGTCTGGCCAGTTCCAGGAAAAAAACTGTTAGTCTCTGTTATGAGGTGAATTGTGTCCTCCTCAAAATTCAAATGCTTAAGTCCTAAACCCCAATACCTCACCATATGACTGTATTTGGAGATTGGCCCTTCAAAGAGGTAAATAGGTAAAATGAGGTCATGTGGGTGGGCTGTAATCTGACCTTTAAGAAGCAGGGATTAAGGTACAGAAAACACACACAGAGGGAGGGCTGACTACATGAGGACGCCATAAAAAGGCGGCCATATGCAAGCCAAGGAGAAAGGCCTCAGGAAGAAACCAAATTTGCCAACACCTTGATCTTGGACTTGAAACCTCCAGCATTGTGAGAAGATAAATTTCTGTTGAGTCACTAAGTCTGAGGTAATTTGTTGTGGCAGCCCTAGCAAACTAACATATTCCTTTCTTTTTCATATTACCTTACATTTATAAATTAACTCAGGAAGAATGGAGAGCTTTATAATAGTGAATTTCCCTATCCCAAAACATGATGTTTCTTTACATTTGTTCACAGAATGAGATTAGTGTCTATAATGTCAGGCTTTAGAAGCATTATATCTGCTTGATATAAACAAATACTGTGAAGGTTTTCTTATTTCTATATAATTAGAATTAGTTCCGTGAAGCTCTTTGAAAGCATCCAGGCCTGATCCAAATCTTGGATGAGCCATCAGCAGATTTCTGCACAATAGGAGAGATCTCTGCAGGCTTCACAGATCAGTGGTCTCCTCTTCTCCTACAGTGACAAACTTTTTTCCTGAGACATGGTGACCCTATGGTGCTATACCTCCTCTGTCACTCTAAACCAAACCTGGTTTAGGAGAACTTTTAGCTCCAGGCTTTCCCTTCCCTAATTCCTTCACTGGCCATGAAGGGGCACAGTCTGTGCAATCCTAATTTTCTAAAAGGTTATGCATGTGCACACTGGTTTTGTATGTGTTGGCGTGAGGGGGGGGGAGGTATGGGGGTACATGGCAATGTCTGCTCAGATAGGAGTTTTCTGCACCTTCTCTTTCTGCTTCCTCCAGCATTTATGCACTCCTCTACCTCAGCCCTGCTTATGGCACCTCCTACAAGGACCAGGCTCTGTCTTGGCTGGGACTGTATATTTATGCTAAGTCCTGAGCTCAATCCCTTTTCTTTTCTTTTTTCTTTTCTTTTCTCTTCTTTTCTTTTCTTTTCTCTTCTTTTCTCTTCTTTTCTTTTCTTGATGCACCTCTGTGAGTTTCCATGGCTCTACTGGTCTTAGATGTTTTTGGCAGCACTTAAAATACGGAATTTTGTGGTTTTCTCAGTGTTTAGTGTCACTGAAAATGTAGTTGGGGCTTTTCTTCAATCTTACTACTCTCAGCAGTTCCCAAGGAGAGAAAGAGGGAAATTACAAACAAAGTTGCTAAAAGTGGCCACCACATTCCTACTACAAGTCCTAAATCCAACTTCTTTGTAAGGAACCTTTTCTTATAAGGTATTTTTAAAAGCCTGTAGGATATCTGAATTGCAATAAATGGCATAAGAAATTATTGTCTAAACCATATTCTGAATTATTTATTTAAGCTCATTTTCCAAAAGGAATACTCTGGAGCCAATTCCTCCTTCCACCTGGTATATACTCAGAGAAAGCAAGCTAATTTCAGTAGTAGCCTAATAAGTAGATAAAATTAGCCAATCAAGTCTGTTGCAAAAGGCTGCAAAAATATAATTTAAGGCAAAAATAAATGCTTTGAGAAACATATCACAATTTCCTGAGCATTGAAAATAAGCTCAAACTTTATGCAAATGCCTACTACCAACCTTGTTGTCCATCTGGCATGGTCACAATGATGGGCTGACCTATTCCACTGGTTGGAATGGAGTGCAAATTTCCAAGCTGAATTCCATCTGTAACTATTGTGATGACTTGCTGACCCCCCGAACTAACTACTTGCTGAATTGCACCATCCACAGATTCTGCAGTAACTACCTCCTCCGTAGCCACTACTGGAAAAAAAATATATATGTAAAAATCAGTGAACATATATAAAAGTATGAACAGAAGTTTATTTTTGTTTTGCTACTTTTGCTTTTCCTGATTTCTTACACAGAAAAGTTTTTACATGGTTTTTATTAAATGTAGTGTCCAGTGGTGCTATACATACCTAGAAAAACAATGGACTACCAGTCCCACAATTTACAATTAAATGAGTTCTGATTATGCATGTATATTAAATAATATCTCTTCATTTAGTTATATGAGGTACAAAATTTATAAGATCTCCTAAAATCAGATATAACAAAGGTTACACTTGCTTAATAAAATTCTACAATCCAAAAGAGAATTTTGTAGGTGGTTATACTCCACTTACATTTACATATGAGATGACATACGTTTCTACATTCAATGAAATATGGACATTTGTATTTTTCAAGTAAACAGAATAAGCAGTATTCCCTTTCTGGACTCTGTGAGCAAGGGTTGCCTTGGTAGTCATGGCCTACATGACAGTATGACAGTAAATAATATACTATACTACCATTTATATAAATAAAATCCAACATTGTGTTCTTGATAGAGACTCAGAGAGGATTCTGGCACCTGAAAACAGCACCCATGGCCTTGCTTGGGTAAAGAAATCACAAGTTAATGCTGCCCAAATCCTTTCCCACAGGCAACCCTATGCCCAACAACTGATCCCAAACGACCTACACAGGAACATTCACAGCAGCTTTACTCACAATAGTCAAAAACTTGAAACCAACCAGATATCCATCAAATGTAGAATGGATAAACAGACTTGAGGTAGACTCATACACTGGAACACTGCACAGCAATTAAAATGACTAAATGCAAAACATGGATAAATCTGACAAAAACCATGCTCAGTGATATAAATCAGATGTAAAATATATACTGCAGAATTTAAGAAACAACAGATGTACACAGGGGAAGTAAAAAAAAAAAGGAGAGGGAGGAAATCTTAAGAAACTCTTAACTACAGGGAACAAACTGAGGGTTGCTGGAGAGAGGTGGATGGGGGAATGGGCTAGATGGGTGACGGGTAATAAGAAGGACACTTATCATGAGTACCGGGTGTTGTATATAAGTGACGAATCACTAAATTCTACTGCAGAAACCAATATTACACTATACGGTAACTAACTAGCATTTAAATAAAAACTTGAAACATGAAAAAAAATAAAAATTAAATGAGAAAGGAAAAGAGTTCTATTTGAGTCCAAATTAGGACAAATGCCTGAGATACACAATTTAACAAAGAAGAGAATTTTCCAGTAAAGGAACATGTAGTGCAGGGTTATATATATTTATCATAAGGAAGGATATTCCATAAAGCTATAGACTTCATCTTATGTTTTTCATATGTGGAAGGTTTTGTGACTTTAATCTTATGGGAACCAAGGGGATTGGTTTTTGTTTTTCTTCTCTTTATGCTTGGAATGCTCCTTTTTGGTTATTGTTTTTTAATGAAGCAGATGTACACTGTGTGATTGAGGCAGAGATAGAGCCCATGATTTGAGGTTTTTCTCAGTCATTCTGATGTCAGCAAATGTTAAAGTATAGCTTCCTTGGCAGTCCAGGAAGAAGGCCTACATACATTAAAAGTTGAAAATTTCCTTTCTCGAGTGCTGATGCATAGGGGCACATGTACCTCAATGTTCATAGCAGTACTCTCAACAATAGCCAAAATATGGAAAGAGCCTAAGTGTCCATCAACTGATGAATGGATCAGGAAGATGTGGTTCATCTCTACAATGAAATACATGGCAATGAAAAAGAATGAAATCTGGCCATGTGTAGCAACATGGATGTAACTCAAGGGTGTTATGCTGAGTGAAATAAGTCAGGCAAAGAAGGACAGATACCATGTTTTCACATATAGGAGGATTAGGAGGAACTTACCGGAGGACCATGGGGGAGAAGAAGGGGGAAAAATAGTTGGGGAGAGGAGGGGGAGACAAACTGAAGGCTGATGGGAGTGGGGGAGAGGGGAAGGGGGGTGATGGGCATGGAGGAGGGCACTTGTTGGGACGAGCACTGGGAGTTATATGGAAACCAACTTGACAATAAACTATTTATGAAAAAAAAAAAAGAAAAGAAAATTTCCTTTCTCACTGGAGCATGTTAGACATGTTTAGTCCCTCACTGACCTTACAAGTCCCTACCTTTGGCCACAACAATCAGTATAACCCACCGTGAACCTGAAGTAGTGCCCAGGGTTCTGGCTTTGAAGTCCGAGCAGCCAAGCCCACACTCCTGCCCTGCTTTGGATTTTGTGCCATGTGGCCTTCCAGACCACTGCACTGGACCAGTATGTAGGGCACACTGGCCAGGCCAGCAGTCCACCTCCCCAGGTATGTGGGGTTTATAGCACCATCCTACTGCCACAAAGAGGGAAAGGTGGTGTGAGAGAGGACAAACTGCCTGCCTTGCTCACTTCTTTAGGTCTCGATTTCCTTAGTGGGCTGCTGCAGGAATGTAAGAAAAGTTTGTGTTTTTTTCTCCTTTTAATCTAGCTCATATAAATTTAATTCTTACTCCAGCTGGAAGACCCTGAGGGGTAGAAAAGAAATTTTCCCTCTCTTCTCCTACATGATATTTTAAGTTCATCAAAATATACAATACTACTTTTAAGACTGAGGATTCCCAGAGGGGACGTAGGTTGGGGGACAGCAAAATGGGTAAAGGGGGTCAGTTTTATGGTGATGGATGGTAACTAGCATTTTGGTGGTGATCACTGTGGTGTTTACAGATGTTGAACTATAATGTTGGACACTTACTTGCAAGGTTTATAAAGTTACATCCCAGTATTACCTCAATAATTAAAAAAATAGAAAATATTGTTTTAAAACTCAATAACACAGTTTGGAGCAGCCTTTATAGATTCTAAGAGCTGCTCAAAAAGCTCAGACAAAACTAAGGCTAAGACTATAGTGTCCAAAAAGAGTAATCATTCACATTATATGGCTATCAAGAAACTGAAATGTGGCTGGTTTGAATTGAGATGTTACTTTTGGTATGAAATTCACACTGAATCTCAAAGACAGTATGAAAAAACAATGTAATATATCTTATTAATAATTTTGATTTCTTATAGAAATATTTTGGTTATTTTGGGTTAAATATATTATTTAAAAAACAAAATATATACTGTGTACTTCCCATTTTTGAACTAAACAGTGATTATACAGGAGTAATCACTTTGAGATAATTCAGTAAACTGTACACTTAATGATGTAATCACTTTTCTGTATGCATATTACATTTCAATAAAGAAGCATCAAAAGAAATAATGACAATAATGGATTACAACACAATGAATCTTTAAAAATCCATTTGTCCATAATAATACTTCATGAAAAAGGAAAGGGAGAAAGAAGAAATATCTTCTTAATAGAAGAATGACATACAATTAACAAAATAAGAAAAATTATCATTGTAACCTCTGATATAATAATTGACTCAAGCAAGTGTCACTAATGGATGTTCAAACCACTGAAATGTTCTGAGAAACAAGATATTCATATGTTCTCAAAGTATCACACCGAAGATTAGTAAGAGGAAAATGTGCCTATAAGGATCTGGCAGTAATCACTCTCACCAAGTGGTCATTATCAGGATGGCCTGCCACGTACCTCCTGACATGATGCAATGGGAGATTACAAAATATCACTTGTGTTCTTCCTGGAAATGTATGACCTGCATATACTTATTAAACAAATGAATCTAGAAAGTGAATGAACTAGACAATGGGCATAAACTCTACAAGGATTTCAATGTCAAAATCCTTGGAGAAAAGGGAGAAAAAGGAGGGCAGCCTGGGTGGCTCAGGTGGTTACTCAGGTCATGAACCTGTGGTTACTGAGTTCAAGCCCCATGTTGAGCTCTGTGCTGACAGCTCAGAGGCTGGAACCTGCTTCAGATTCTGTGTCTCCCTCTTTCTCTACCCCTCTCTTATTAGCACTCTGTCTCTCTCTCAAAAATAAACAAACATTAGAAAAGGAAAGGAAAGGAAAGGAAAGGAAAGGAAAGGAAAGGAAAGGAAAGGAAAGGAAAGAAAAAAGAACAGAACAGAACAGAACAGAACAGAAAAGAAAAGAAAAGAAAAGAAAAGAAAAGAAAAGAAAAGAAAAGGGAGGCAGCAGGACTGTCCAAGGTTTGGGGAGACTAAAGAGACACAACAACCAAATACAATGTGTGAACTTTGGATCCTGGATGAAAAATAAACAAACACTTACAAAGGACACTTCAAGGACAACTGAGGAAACTTGAATGTGGACTGCATGTCAGATAATGTTACTAAATTAATGTTGATGTTTTTAGGAAATATAATGGAGCTATGACTATGTATCAGGCTGTCCTTATTCTTGGGAGATATATGAAGAAGTATTTAAAGGTGAAGTGTCATGATATCTGCAGCCTACTCTCAGAAAATTTGGCAAAATAAAAGTGTGTGTGTGTGGATGTGTGTGTGTGTGTGGATGTGTACATGCAGGTATGGCAAGATTTTAACAGTTGGTGAGTACAGGTGAAAGATACAAAGTTATCCCCCAATGTTTCTATGGGTTTGAAAACTGTCAACCCAAAAAATGTTCTAGTATAACTAATTCTGAAAAAAGAAATCACATAAAAACTATTTCTTAATGATATAGGTTTTCTTCATGTATTATTTGAGGCAACAGTTTATAGAAAGAGTAAGTAAATAAATCCATTCTCTCCGGAAGTCCTATTACCTACCATTCAGAGGCACAGTTGCTCTAAAACATGCTAAGTTACTACCAACTCCCAGTAGAACATCATGGGTATCAATGAGCTCCTTTTTTAAAAAAGGCAAGGTAAGTATTGGGATCCTAGTTTTCAAAGATGTGCTCGTGACATGGCGACAGACTTGGCTGCCACCCGGTTACTCTGTTACTTGATAATCAAGGGTCACGATACAAACTGCAGAAGATAATACTGAAAATACAAAAACAAAACAAAACAA